CCTGAAATCTGCAGTGGGCACTAAGGCCCAAAAGGAAGGCTGGCATGGAGTGGAAGGGGGAGGGGGGTTTTACTGGGGGGTAATGGGGGGTGGGTTGGGGGCAGAGTCCTGGGCAGCATAGGGTGCCGGAAACAGCAGTGACAGCTGCCTGTCAGGTGTTACGGTAGCCTGGGCAGGCGCTTCAGTCAAACTCTTACCTGGTACATGATCTCATAGGGTTGTCAGCCTCATTCCAGGAGGAAGAAGCAGAGGCTCAGGCTCCATCAAGGGAGGTGGCCTCCCAGTGTCACAGTGCTAGGAAGTGGTGGCCAGAACCCCTGAGGGGTGGTCTGACTCCATGGCTGGAACAGGCACAGGACAGGCAGCAGGCAGGGATTGTGGCTTCCCCTGGGCTGAGCCCCGAGCTCCCTCACCCTACACACCCTCGGCCCCGAGGAGGGGTCTGCAAACTCCACGCTGCAACCATTAGGGTCATGGGGATCGTCTCGGGGTGGCAGCCATCATTTGGGGGGAAAGAGTAATAGGATAATGAACATCAGAGTCACGATGCCTGGTAAGCTAAGTATTCTTTCGTGAAAGTGTTTGAGTTACATATGCATCAAAAGTCACTTACTTTATACCTGGTCATCACGCATGCGCTGGGGGAGAGGCGCAATGTATTTCCTACCCTGGCCACGGTCAGCAAGCTTTGAAAGCCACTGCTTTCAGTCTTTCTTGGTTCTGCAGGGGCCTCCGGGCCTTTGTTCTCTGAACAAGAACGCCAGTCTGGGCACAGGATAGGAGCCAGGACATGCTGGAGGATTTCCGAAATGTGCCCCTTCCTGCACACCAACGCAGCTGGCTGGGAAAGGCACCATTGCGTGGGGTCCTAGAACTTGGGGTGCTGATGTGTGGCTGCAGCACGGGGGGGCTAAACAAGAGAACCAATGCCCTGGTGCTGCGATCCCACGGGCCATGCTTTCCTCCCCCTGTGAGTTGCACAGGGTTCCTCACCTGCGGGCCAGATGCTCCTGAGGCCCCCAGAGAAAGGCCCCAAAGCGGCTCCACCAGGCCGGCCTGCGCTGAGAAGCCCCGAACCCCACACGTCCATGGGGAATGGGCAGAGTGAGAGCCTCTCCTACCCCTGGGCCAGTGTTGGCCACAGGAGAGAATGTCTTGGGGAGTGAGAAGTTGTCAGGGTGGTGGGGGGGCAGGGGCCGAGAAATTCTCCAGGCTAGGCCAGGAGGCCACTGGGCAAGGGTCTGAACTGCCTTCTGTGGGCAGCGGGCAGCAAGTAGCTGCCAGAGGCTTTAGGGTGGTCAGATTTGTGTCTCAATCAGGTAACTTCGGCTGGAGTGTGCTAGTCCCAGATCTCTGCTTGTCTGCCTTTCTCCAAAGGGAGCTGCTTCAACACAGAGACCTGGATGCGGGGTGAGCACCCCAGCAGGTGCATTTTCAGGTACGGACTTCTTACCTACCCAGGGAAGTCTTCTTCCTCTCCTCCCTTGGGCATTCACTTCTTTTGTTTATTTTGTATTGTACATTCCTCCTTCCTGGGAGTGGGCCTTCAATTTGGGCAATTCTAGGCAACACTGCACCATCACTTGGAATAGACAAGCACGAAGCAAACTGCGTTCCAACGTGAAGCCATGTCTCCTCTCGATCTGGCTGCGTTTCCCGTCTGTCCGCCTGGCTGGCCCAGGTGTCCCAAAAGGGACCTTTGTTTTCCCAGGAAAAAAAACCAAAACAGAGCAAAACAGAAACAAAAAACTGAAACACACACATACACACACGTCAACCCAACCGTAATCGGGACTGAGGTTGGACATCCTATTGCCTGGCCTTTGTAGGATGTGAACAACTATGTCCCGTCAGTGGCTAACTCTCCGGACTCTGACTCTCAGTGTGACAGGTGAGCTCGGGGACGTCTCCAATCCCAAGTTTTCGTCCATATCTTGATCTTTTGTTTTTTATGAAAAATGATCAGTGGGTCACTGACAATGCTTCTGGCGAGTTTTTAAAGGGGAGAAAACATAAAAAGGAATAGGGTCTTCTAGATGGGACCAAAACCTGGACATGAGGGTATTAGGTTGGGAGTTGCACAGGCTGCCAGGCTGGATGTGGGTCCTGTCTGCATGCTCCAAAGATCTGCCGCTCCCATTGCACGACCGACCTGTCTGGCTTCCTTCTACGTCGTGATCATATACGTCACCATTCTAAGGGGTCAGCTCTAGGTGTCTGCTTAGATAGAAGTAAATCCCTGGGGCCTGACATTGCAGTAAGCCCTCCACACAGAGCCGCATTTACCCCTAATATAGTGAAACTAACTGCACCTCAGTTCTCCTCCTGGCTGTACAAGTGTCAACAAAAATGTATTTTTCCCTTTCCTGCTCAGTTCAGAGGTTATTCCTAAAAAGCAGCAGTTAATGTATTTTTGATTTTTTGAGACTGAGAAAATTGTTTGCCAGGAACACACAACTTATTTGCTTTACTCTCTATTACTCACTTAATGACACAAGATTACTGGAAAAGCCATGTCAGAACAAATGGAAGATTAACTTAAAAACTGATTTGTTTTTTCCTCACAACCAGTTGGGTAACTGATGTGAGGAGCTGTAGTTTAAACAATCCCAAGGTCATTTAGCTTGTTACATATTAAATGTTACAGTCTTATGCAAAACAAAAACAGATATTTCTTTGGTTAAAAAAAAAATTGGTCCGTTTTCCTGCGCAACTTTTATCTCAAATAGAAAAGGATTCTAATTTTATCTGTGTTCAATAACAGATAAAAAAAATCATGAGGCTGGAGCTGTTTACTTTTTCCTACAATTCTGTGAGCAGCAGGAGGAAGGAAAATCAACTTGAGTCTAGCATTTTCTGAGCACACTAAAACAGCCAGGTCCCTTCCACCCATCTGGAAAGAAATTAATTACTTCTATGGGTTAGTTTAACATGAAATTATTTTATTTTCACTGTATTTTTCTTCTGGCTATTAGGGAATAAAAAAAAAAGAAGGTGCGGAGGAAGATAGGCTTTGGTTTCTCGCCATCCATTGTCTCTCCAGGCTTTTCTTGGTTTCCACATTTTGCTTTTTGTATTTTTTCCTTTTTTGGGGGGTTGAAAAATGTACAAAATGTATTTTAAATATCAAAAATTATAGATTTTGAACATGACAAAATCTTTGATCCACAATACATTTTAACAAAAATGTTAATACCGTCTGCTTTCACTCTAATTAAATAAAAATGTTATTTTTCACTTCATATCCTCGGATCTGTTCAATCTGACGTTTGCTAGATGTGAACAAGTCCTGCAGACTATTTCAGAGGCTATTTGAAAAATGTAAACAATCGATATGTAACATTTCCACGGAAATACGCTTCTTAGTTCACAATTTTTAAGACAGTGGGGCGCCCGAGGCGGCGACCTGGCTCCTGGGCTCCGCGGGCGGCCGTCCCGCGTGTGGGTCCCTTCCGTCCCCGGGGGCGCAGCGCGGCAGGGGCGCCGACGGCCTCTCCTGCCCGGCTGGGGCCAGGTCGGCCCTGCGCGGCCTTCCTCTGCTAGCATTTTCCTTCTCTGAAGCGCGCAGGCTGTGGAGAGACCCCGCGGGCCGGAGGAGGGTGCGCGGCCTGCGGCGAGGGTTGGGCCGCGCGTCCCACCTGCTCCCGCCCGGCCCCGCGTGTCCCGGAGCCGCCGCCGCCGAGCGCGGTTCCACTACATGGAACACCCAGAGCTCACTCCTCCGCCTGGCTCCCATTTGGCTTTTTATTATCTGCCTCCCCCATCCTAAGTGGTTCCAGATTTACAATTTAAGAGGCGAAGGGACCAGGCTCTCAGCTCCCCGGGGACTCTCAAGCAATTAGGGCCACCGCAGCACGCCCGCTGGGCGGCCTTGGGGGCTGTCCACGGCTGCGGGCCGCTAGCGGGTTCCTTCCGGGTGCTCAGACCCTCCCCCGCGAGCGCACCACCCAGGGCGGCAGCGTGACGGCGGTGCTGGGACTCTGAGCTGCGACCCCGCTGCCCCAAGCACCTGCCTGGCCTTCCCCTGAGCGCACAGCCTCTGCCTGGCCAGGCATGCTTGGGGAGGGGTCCCCAGAGTCCCGGGGGCAGGACACGAGCCCTCGGGCGACCTCGGAAGCGGGCGCGGCAGGCAGCGCGGAGCAGACTCTGGCTCCCAGGCCCCGGCTGAGCGGGGGCGGCCACGACGCGGACCACCCACGCCGCCGCCGACCTGGGAACCGGCTGTCACCGAGGCCTCCCGGGCCGCCGCGGGGTCGGGGGCTCTGCCTGACCGAAGTATGTCACCTGGGTACCACCGTCCCGAGTCACTGTCTTTAGTGGGAAGACCCCAACCCGATCCCCTTCAAGCCCGCCACACCCCCATGCGCGGCGCCCCCAGGCAGGCCCCGCGGCTGGGCCCCGCCGGCGCCGGAGGGGGAGGGCCCCGAGGGCCCAGGGCGCCGTTCCAAAGGCCAGAAAATGGAAACTGTGCGAAAAGAATCCCCAAATCCGGCCGGGCCCGAAGCCCACCGGCTTACATAAAGCCCCAGGAGCCCGCCTGCCCGCCCGCGGCCTCCGCGCTTGGGGGTGTACAACGGCGGGCGCCCGGCCAGCCCGGCCTGGGGCTGGCACCGCCACCGACCCCCGACCACGGGCCTGGCGTGACCCCGGGAGGGGGCAGGGGTCCCAGCCTCTTCCCACTCTCTGCTCCCAGAAACGTTTAACTGGCCTTTAATCACATTAGCAGCCGGCCCCAATTAGGGCCGCAGGAGGGGGGGCAGGAGGAAACCGCCGCCGTGTCACTCGAGGATAAAGGTCCTTTCATGCCCTTGGCCTGGTCATGGGCAACGCGGCGGCCGCCACCCCCGGCCTTTGATCGCGGCGCCCGGGTCTCGCCGACGCCGCCATGTTCTGGCCCTCGCCGCCCCACAGCGTGCCCTCGCCCCGGAGTGCGCGGTGGGAGAGCGGGTAGCGCCCGAGGCCCACCGCCCCGTGCCCAAGCCCGACGGAGGCCCGGCGGCCCGGCCTGCAGGGTCGCGCGTGCGCATGGGGGCCGCGGGCGAGTGGTCTGCCTGGGGGGCTAGCAGAGGGCCTGGCGACGAAGCGCCGCCCCGCCGACCAGCCAGAACCTGGTAAGGCCGCCGCCTATGGCGTGTTCTGAGGGAGGGTGACCCGCTGCCACGGGTGGCGTGGCAGGTCACCTGTACCCTCCTGAGCTGCCGAGGGGGTTGACAACCCCGAGTCGCTCCGTCCGTCCTCCTGGGCCCCGGGGTGAGGCCCAACCGTCGCCCGGGGTCGGGCCGAGGTCCAGGCCTAGGCCCCGCGCTGCTGTGGCCTGTCTCCCTGGGCCCCAGGCGTCTCGGGCACGGGGCGGGGGCGACGGGCTGGACTTGGGCCTCCAGGTCGGCCGGGCGGCCCAGCGCGGAGGAGAACCGGCCCGTGCGCCCTGTCGAGGGGTCGCCTTGTGCCCGGGCTCCCGGCGCCGCGCCGCGCTTACCTTGCTCGGCTGCCCGGCCGCGCTCCCGTCGCCCCGAGGGTCGGTGCCGGGGCGCGCTCTGGACGCACCGAGGTCGTGCGAGGACAGCGGCCGCCCGCGCCGCCGGAATGCTGATGCCGCAGGCGGCCGCGACTCCCGGTGGCCGCCCGGGACCCCCGCCCCACTGCGGCAGCTGCAGCCCGGAGCCGCGTGACCCCGGCCCCGACCTCCCCGCGCTGGGCTGTTTGTGCGCGCACAAAAGAGAACACTCATATTTTTCTTTTCCCGGCACAGACTTAACACCCGCCCCATCTCCCCTCCCCCAAGTTACCCCCCACCTCACACACGCTTCGCTGAGAACCTCTTTTTCTCCGCGCACCCACTTTGTCTCGCCTTTCTCTGCTGTTTAATTCCATACTTGTATTCGAGGATGTCAGTATAGCTTAGAAAGTTTCATAGAAAGTCAGAAAGCAATTAGAGAGGCCCTTTTATTGGAGTCTCGTTGGTGCCATGGAATCTTTTAAAGGAGAGCCTGAAGGACCGAACACAATCCCATTAAGCCGCCAAAACTCCCACAGTCTTCAATAGGGGTGCTCAATACTTCGACAGACTTTCGCTGGCTCATTGGGAACCGCGGGTTTCAATTCCTAGTTCCACTGCCGACTCACAACAGCGGGCCTTGGACCCCTCATGCCTCCCTTTCTCATCGGAATTTCCATTGGTAAAATGGCTCACAGCGAACATTAATTAATGTCTGCAAAGCCGTCCGAGGTCTCGGTTTGACAAGTGCTATGAAAACCTGAAGCGCTTTAATACAGTAACGCCACATCCTGACTATTTGTTTGAATTTTTAAAAAATTCCAGCGAGTTTCTGGAAATGTGAGCTCGATTTTTTTAAATAAACTTTTACCCCTCTCAGCTTTAAAATCGATCGGCTGACGTTTGGGAAATGGGTCAAAGAAATTATGCTTTGCTGGGAAAAAAGACCACGTATGACCGAAGTTTCAGCTTAATTGAATTTTAGTGCCAAATTATAACTCACTGAATAACTGGACGTGGGCGAAGGGGGGTGGAGGAGAAGCCAGTTAAGGAAGGACAATTCTAATGGAAATACAGCCATCCTGAGCTGGGGTGGGGAGGCCACACTGGTACATTCAGGACTGCAGCCTCCACTAGGAGCCTAATTCCAAAGAGGTGAGGTTATCACACTGTGGGCTTCTTATGTGGGAAAACTAGGATTGGCCCATGTCTGATTTTTGTGAATTTTGGGTAATATTCTGGTGTGTTATTTAATGTAGCAGGCAACTCTTCTATAGAGCATAGCTTTTTCCTTTGCTATTTTAGAGAGTAACTTCTGTTCTTGACAATAAAAATTAATGTCTTCCTTTAAAAGTCAGTATGTAAAGAAAGCAGGTGTTTCAAAAAAAAAAAAAAGATAAAGTATTAAAAAAATACGTACTTGGTTGTCAAAGCAAAGCGCCAGGTTTAGAACAATTAGGATTTTGCTCCTGGTGTGTGATCACAGATGTTCGTTTTATTAAATAGAAGTTTGTATTTGACAGTTTCTGGATTAGTTTTTGGAAAGGAGAATAGGTGATAGGCTCATAATTAAGGAATTATAATTTACATGCTAATGAAATGAGCATCGGGTCTGCGGAAAGAGGATTGTTTTCTAACTCTGTGAGGGGATAATTAAGAACGGGTATGCAAAAATTGAATATTTAATGTTAGACTGCTTTGCATTAGTCAGCAATTATTTTTAAATTTTTCTCAAATTTGCCCTCTTTTTTTCTCTTTGCCTTCCTGGTCCTGCTGCCACCAAGGTCAGCTCCTCGGCCTCTGGTCTCTGATTTTGTGACCGCACTGCACCCACAGCCAGTCGCATGGCATTCTGCATCTCCTCCCCAGTCTGGCAGCCTTCGGGACTCCCAAATCCAAATCCAACCTCAGGCACTTCCCAGCTCTGCCTTCAAAATCCTCTGCCTCGGCCATACTGGTTTCTTCCCTGACTCTTTAACAAGCCTTTTCCCCTGCCTCTGGACTTCTCTGTCACCCTCTTCCCTACCTGAAACACCTCCCACCCTTCTCTTCACCTGTCCAGGTAGCACCCTCTGCCTCGTCGCGGCTCAGACCCACATTGACCTGGCCCGCCGTGGACTGCCGTGGAACTGGCTCCACTGCTTGGTAGTCACGGAGGGCCTCGTGGCACCATCTGCAACTTGTTGTACTGTGCTTATTTCTCATACTGTATCATGACTTTGGGAATGTTTCTGGTGGAAGAGAAAACAATGGGAGCTCCTTGTGAGCAGGTATCATTTTACACACTTCTTGGGGCTCCATCAGCACCCAGCACACAGAAAGTAGGTCATCCATCAGTCAATAGAATGTGGATTTATAAATCAGATTCCCATTTCAGCAAGCAGGAGGGAGAAAAACAGTTCAGAATGCACCCGTTCACGGGAGACGCGTGCAAGCAACGCAGACACGCTTCCGCACTAAACTCATAGGACCTGTCACTGGACTTGTTCAAACAACATAAAACTATTTAAATTAAATGGGATCTTAAATTGTTTAAAAAATGAATATGACTCAGTTGGACTGCAATGGAAAGTAGAGAAAAAACAAACAAAAGCAAATCCAGAAATCCAAACAGTTCAGTCTGCCTTGGATATTCTTGATTTGCCTAAGAAAAGGAGCAGATTCCTGAGAAAGAAGCAAGGTGTTTGAACAGTGCTGTCCCATCTTAGCGAAGGCTCCTGAAAACTCTGCCTCTCGCAGGTTGTCTGTTCCCTGTCTTGCTTGGGACCCTCTTCTCTGAAGTTGCCCTGTGCCAAGACAGGGCGTGGGTAGTTCTGGAAAAGTGCCACCCATCGATGTCCTTGTGCACCTGGACTAGGTGAATTCAGGCATCTTCCTCAGGGAGCGTGGCTCACACTGAATCGTGCCGAAACGCTGGCGACGGGACTTGCTCTGGAGAGGATGACAAATTCTGCTCTTGTCAATAAGCGCATGATTAAAGTAACAAGATAAAAATGACACTAACACAGCTACTTTTAAAACTCTTAAGGGAACAAAGAGATTAGCAATTGCGGTGGTATGGGAAGAAATGAAACTGATGAAAATAACTCTCTCAAGAATTTGAAGGGGGAAAAATTGGCATCTAGATTTTACTGAATACGAGCAAGGTATCATTTCATACCATTTAATAAAATTAACTAAATTAGAAGTATTAGCATTTAAAGATGGATTGTGTTTCTCCTGTGAACTTCACAGCCCCTGAGGGGGGCCATCCTAAGGGTCTTCATCTTCAGCTGAGAAACTGAATTTCCTGTTGGAGTGTAATTCTCGGTTCATACTTGCAAGTAACAATACGATAATCAAAAGGATAAAAAAAACAGGTACACAAAACAGAGAGCTGGATTTGGAGTGCAGCCAGGTGACAACGTTCTTGTGGCATGATTTTCAAGCTGTTTTAAAAACTTGAAAAGCTTCCTTTCTTTCTCCCCAAGCGAAAGTTTTAAAAAATGGACGGGTGGCTTAAGCCTTTTCCCATCCATGGAATCATTTGCCCTTATTGTGTCTTTTCAACCAGCCACTTACACCGAATGGAACCCTGCTTTCCTTCACGTCATTTTTGGAGAATATTTTGATGTTCTGATTTTGTTCCAATTTGATAGTTTAAGAAAATATGTAGGTTCAGGTTCCTTATAAATTGGCTCACTAGAAGCATCCTTCTGAGAGGCGGGGTGGAAAGAGAAACAAAACAAAACAAAAATACTCACTTTAGATTTATGGTTCAACACAGAATTGATATTTGGGTTCAGGCCAACAAGCAGTGAAATGGTGTGGTGTGTTGGGTGTCTGTTAAAGATAGCTTTGGGTCAAGGCCAGGCTTTCGGTTTTAATCCTAAGCGTCACCCTCCTATTGGCTCCGGCTTAGGTACTTCTTTATCTTAAAAGATGCCAGTCCCCTGCTTATGTTAGATTTTAACAATACCTGTCCGCAAAACCTTTGGGGCTGGGTGTTTTTTAGAATTTATATTTTTTTGTCCTTTCGGATTTTAGAAAGGGAATACGGTGTAGAGACTGTGTACTGTGGAATGCTCCAGCCTGGGGGTACTTCCTTCCCAAGTGCACGTACATTTGGGTAGTTAGGAGCATTCACTGTAAGGGGAGTAAAATGGAGACTCTAAATAAATATCCTCACGTTGGGGTAGTGTGCAAAATTTGTGAAGCAACTTTTGTCTTTCAGAGCTTTACGAGGTGTTGGACTTGCATGTAATGGGTTGTGGCCCTGGATTTCAGGACCACTTTTCTTTTCCTAAAAAAAAAAAAAAAAAAGGAACTAGTTTCAGGGACCTTCAAAATCCTTTCCATTGGTCAGTTTTAATTGTATCTCTGGTGTTTGAGTGTTATTTGTTTAAAGAATGCTTCTATATTTTCAGATAATTCATAAAAAGGTGTGGGCTAAGGGCCACGCTTTAGCATATTAAACACACACCATGCTAACATTTCATGTGTCCCACTCTACGTAAAGGAGCAGCTGCAGGAGGCATCGGCTGGCTGGACACGGTGCCGAGGTGGTGGACAGCCTCTGATGGCCATGTCCCGCTTGCCCCCTGCCAGGAATGTCTCCCGAGCTTAAAAAGGCTGCAAGTGCTTTCATTTGCCTCTGACCTCTAGAACCAAAATAAACTGCACACGACAAATGGAACCTAAGGTACTAAGAGGTCCTTCAGATGATGAAAGTGAGCCAGCAGCATGTGGATGGGGTTCCCGCAGGGGCAGAGGGTTGGGTTACACAACTCCTACTGTCCCATCCAATTTTGACTCCGTGGGTCTGCGTGACCCATATTAAGTTCTCATAAACATCAGCTCTTTCAAGAGGTAGAAACATTTGGGGCAGAAATAGCGAGCATTCCAATTTAAATGGGAATATGCTGTCTATTTTAATTATTAGAGAGATTTTAATTTTATTATAAAGGATCATGTGCTGTTCAAATTTGATTGAGTTCTTTACAGGGCCCATAAGAGCAAATGAAATGCACATAGGCTGTGCACACTCTCAGGAAATGTCAGAATTCTTCATTAGATTTTATATTGTGTTGGACACAAGCGCTCGACCTCCATGAATGTGCTTCTGAAATTAAAACGAAGCCACGTGGAAAGATGATTCACTATGCCAGCATTCAGTTTTGCACCTGACTGTTCTGGAATCCATCTAGTGCTGAAAGCAAAACGGTCCTGTTTTAACAATGCACATTTTTAAGGGTTCCTGAAAATAACTGTGCAACCAACGGCGTTGGCCTCGCAGAGACAGCAACTTACGCTCATAAAAGGGGAAGAGGATCCAGGGCCAGCATCCCCTGGGCAAGAAGAGCTGGGGTGGGGGGAGGAGGCGGGGAGGCAGCAGGCAACACTGAGGACTCTCAGGGAGAAAACCCTCCAAAAAGTGCCATTCTGGTGTGAATTTTGGAGCTGCAAAAAGTGGCAGGGAGACGGCTGAAACTGAGGTGCTCCACCTCATCTCTCTCCCACAAGCCTGACATTTGTCACTCGGCACCTGTGCATAGCGCACACTGAAGGGAGACACCTGACCCCCAGGGAGTTGAAATACTAGGAGTTGAACTCCAGCCTCTGCAGGAGGCAGCGCCTATGCCTGCCTCAAAGCAATCTTTTCATCTCAAATTCCTCTTGCTAGTTTCCAAGCGTGCACCTTTTCCCCTCAGAAGATCTCAAGGTGTTGTACAGAGCCTTTTACCTGTGAAGCATCTTATTTAATTTTGCATGATTAAAATCGGAGTAAGTGGGTGAAGGCACAGGCAGGGGAAAAGGGATCAGGCTTCAAGAGAGGGTGGGTGGCGGAGCAAGGCAAACCCAGGTACTGCCCGAGGCAAGGCGGTGAGGTCCCCGCTCAGCGGCGGTGACGCGGGTATAAAGATAAAGAAGAAATCATTTCTGCCCAGTGAGAGTAACAAAGCACTGATGCATTTATGCCTTGCCAGGCAGGGAGGGGTCCAGGAACAGGTCTTGGAGAAGCGGTGCCTGAGATGAGTCTTAAAGGGTGAGTTGCCTGTGGCCGAGAGGAAGGCAAGGCCAAGGGTGATGCACGGGAGACTGTCACCAGGAAAAAGGAACAAGCAGCCAGAGAAGGGCAGGCTGGGGGTTCCCCGGGGTCTCACTCTCCATTTCAAGGCCTCAGATCCTCAGTCCCACTTTGCTATGAGAAGCAGATGAAGTGATGGCGTCCTGCATGGTCTTACCTCACTAACACCAAGCTGCACGGCAGCAGGTGAGGTTGGAGCTCTGCCGACTCTAATAGGGATTCCCAAAAGAGAGACCCAAGTGGACAGTTTTCCTAACATTTTGCGTACACAGATATTTGTGGGCTTTGACTTATAGATTTTTTTGGCTTTGGCTCAGGATCTCTGTATCAATATTGTCTTTAATTCATTTATTCAGTAAACATTTGTCTGCATCTAACAGGCCCAGAGTGCTGGCCCAGGCACCGAGGTGCAGCAGGACGGCCACGGTTTCTGCCGTCGAGGGGCTGACGGTCTGCGGGGGCAGACGTTGCACAGCAACAACGGCAGCAGCAACACCACGTCCCAGGTTAGTATTTTAAAATGCATGTTGTTTTAGCAGCTCAAAAGGAAAAGAGCCTTCAGCAGACATCTCTGGGAGCCCTGCTATGTGCCAGGCGCCGTGTGGGTGCTGGGAGGTGTGCAGGGGCCTCTGCTCTCGATGAGCTTGGATCCTAAGTGGCTGAGCCAGGCCAGGCCGTTTCAGTGTTATCAGTGGTGGTGGGGGGCACACGGGATCGGGGGGTCAATGCCAGATTCATGGCGTGTACCAGGAGGAGGGAGCAGCACCAAAAAAGACGTCTGAGTGTCTCTGGGGGACAGTCAACCCTAACTGGGGCGAGGGTCGGGGCGGGCGCAGAAAGGGCGAAGACAGTCCCAGGCATCACGTGGCTGGGGCTATCTGTGGTTGTTGAGTTACTTGCTCCTGGACGACAAGAATTATGCCAGCCGAAGGGGTCCCGTGGAAGATGTTCTACTTTGTGAAGTTCACATTTTATATGAAATGTTCCATGACATCACTTAAAAAAATCTGATTTTCCAAACACAACCTGGATAACTGTTTCAATGTCAGGTTAGCCTCTTGTTGAAGAAAGACTTGAAATGCAGAATACCTAGAAGTACTGGGGACACGAGTCCTTCTCCCAGACAATAGTGACCCTAGCTTTGGATTAGAAATGCAAGCTGAATTTTCACAAAAGGCAGGCAATGAGATCAATGATGCTTATGAACCTACTTCCCGGACCATTCCAAAGGAGGACTTCGGCCCCTGCAGCCCTTGTTTGGTCGGACGGGAGGCTCTATCTGCCTTGTCTGAGCTGTGTCTGGATTCCATTTCTGGGACCGTGAGGGAGGATTGAGCATGTGGATGGCGGCAAGGCAGTGAGCTGCTCCCACCTGTACAGGAACCAGCTGGTCTGCGCTCATGGAGGGGAATCAGGTGGTGGCAATTCTGAGCTTTGTTTTCTGCAAGTGTCGTTTTTTCCCCCCTCTGGCTGTGGGTAGCCTTCGCTTTGAAGATGTGGCTACCAGCAGAGGCTGAGGCAGGTGGCTTTAGACTTGCCGGAAGCCTCTTTCTCAGACCCAGAAAGTTGCCTCTCTGTACAATGAAACTGAAATTGATTTCGGGGCTCAGTCAAATATCTTTTTTTTTTCTTAAAGAGCAGCCAGTTAGTAATTAGTTGTTCAATTCAACTGTTTTTTTGCCTTCTTTAAAATTTTTTTTAAAAAAAATGTGGTAATTTTTTTTTTTTCTGGGCAAATTCTTAGGATTTAATTGCACTTAAAAATTGTGGAGCCTGTCAGAATAAATTGCAGATAGAATAGTCTCACCCAATAAAACTAGTCCTGTGATTGTCACCACTGTCAGGCTTCTCAGATAAAGTTGTGGGAAGGACAATTTAAGTCTACACGGTGAACCACACTTCAAATCAGTATTCAGCATGAAGCTCGTTGAACTGAAAAACAAATACTGGAGTTAGCAGCCCTGATGCTTGAGGAATCAGGCTTTGATTTTAAAATGATTCCAATATTTTCCCCCTGAAAATAAAAGGAGAAATGTCTACGCCATTGGTTTTAAGTTAAGGCAATGGCATTAAATCTGTAAAAAAAATTTTTTTTTTGAAAAGATAAAATGGATTTTATAGCATATTAAAAATAGTAAAGCATAAACAGTATTGCTAGCCTCATGCAAAATTGCATCTGCTATTTGGCTCCGTCGAGTCTTGTTTATTTCTGGGAGCAAATGACGATCACTGTATGTCAGGGGCAGGCATGGACTTTTCTTTGGCTACGGAAAAGGCACCACCTTGGGGGTATACAAAGCTCAAATGGTGTTTTTTTTTCCCGTGGCATTTCTAAGAAACGCTTTCATCCTTTGTTCTTCCATTTTTGATAAGTGAGCTTCTAATGGTGAATCGATTGATCTTCATGGAAAAACGGAACGTTTTATGTATCTTATCCGTACGACTGAACTGTGCTTTCTGGGGGAGAAGAGGGTGCAGGGCACTTTTCATTCTCTCTCCCAGAGCCCTGCCCTGATGGCAGCTCTGGATAAACCTCAACTAAATGAATGATAAATCTATAAAAGACGGAGAGTACTGTTTGAAATAATTTTTAAGTTAACTGTATTACGTGTCTCCATGACTAATCTACACTTTGTATATATTTTTGTGTAGCTCCCTGTATGTCAGGATGGATAGGGAAAACATCTTCCTTATAGGAAAATAGCAGTTTATTTCTACTTTTCAGCATTGTGGAGAAGATGAGTCAAATAATAGGCTGAGAAGTGTTGGGACTTGAAGGAGGGAGACACTCAGTGGGAACCGAGGATGGGCTGGGAGCAGGACGTCTGGACGTCTGGCGTCCAGAACGAGACTCCCCAGGCCCAGTTCTGGCTCCTCGGCTTTGCACTGTGTTGTGCAGATTGTTTGATCTCCCTACACCTCGGTTTCCTCATCTGCAGAGGACGTGGATGTCTGTATTTTCATCGCGTAGTTACTGGAAGGATTAAGCAGATAACCCAAGTGGAGTACTTAGCTCAGTGCCTGGTGCTTAGTAACTGATCATTAATGAGAAAATAGAATTTTAAAAAACAAAATTAGAAAAATTAAGGTGGTTGAATATTTGTCTTATCAGTGATACATATTTTTTCCAAAGGGCATATTAAGAGTATGAATATGTTTATGTATGAGTAATAATTAGTATTAATATGATTATGTATATTCTCAATATCTGAGTCCTAAAGATATTTAAAACTCTGTTGCCCATGGAAGTTATTGGGTTATTGGTATTATGTGTATACACACATATACACATATGCTCATATACGCGTGTGCATGCACACACATCCACACACACACGCGCACACCTGTGTCTGGCCATTTTATACATTTTGTAAGCTGTCGCATAATAGCAGCAGGGCTGGCATTGGCCCCACACCTGCTCTGGAGCTGAGCAGGATCCCACAGACTCCCCCACTTGGGAAAGTGGACCTTCAGCCCCACTGTTGAATAGGAAACCCTCGTGCTAGTCTCAGGCTCCCCGTGAGCTGTGGAAGCCCGGGGCGCTCAAGACACGGGGCCCTCGGAGGCAGTTTCCTTCTGGCCCCACAGGTTCTGCCAGCCCCTGAAGGGCTCCCTTCCTCTTCCTCCTGGTGGGGATGAGCAGCTGGGGCTCCGGAGCTGGCCGTCCCCAGGTGCCCCAGGCAGGTGATGTTCTGGCACCAGGCTGGTCCCCACAGGGACGAGGCATGAGCAAGGTGGGAATGAAGGGACCTGAACCACACAGAAAGCCTCGGGCAGATCTGGCTCAGGCCCTGGCCTCGGGCAAGGCTTGGAACTTTCCAGAGCCTCAAGCTCCTTCTGTGGTGTGCAGCTTAGCTAATGTCACAGGATGAGCTGCAGGGTCTGGCTGTTCCAGTTTATAAGCAGGCTAGGTCACAGATGTGATGAGGCCTCGTCCCAGCTGAGAAGGAGGCAACTGCTTTCTGGAGTAGATTACTTTTATAAATGCCAAGGCAGGCAAATGACAGGTTGTCTGATATAAGCCAGGGGTAATGTGAGCTGGAATATTTTGTCCAGATCTGTCTTGTATGGATCTGTTTTTCTGAGTATGCCATTTCTCACATTGCAGTTGCTGTGTTAGAGTGAAGAGAAAGCCAACTTCCACTATGAATGGCTCCTCTACATAAATCAAGGTCTGAGAAATTTTTTAAAAATCCAGATTTTCTACCCAGTCCATTCCGGTTAACTGAGCTAGATCATATAGTACCTGTTGAAGGATGTTATTTATCAACACTCGAATTAACCAAGTATTAAAATATCCTATATTTTTAATATCTTAAAAGGTGAATAAAATATACTATTAATTTATTTTCAAGCTATAAAATTAGGTTCAAATCTGTCCACTAAAAATCTTTCTGTTGATATACTTAAGATAACTTTGTAAAAGCAATGTTTAGGATTGGGTCCACAAATGCAAACCAATAACGTATAGACATCATAAATTATCAGTTGTTTGGCCGAATCTGGCTAGGAGTTAAAACTGGTTTGTGTGTGTAGACAGAGCCTAAATGTGAGTCCTGTTTATTAAAAGACAACATTTTTGGTTAAAATTCTGAGTAGGGATTATGTAATATATTATTTAAAAATGTATTAAAACTACTTACATTTCTTTTTCCCAAAGAGAATCTGTGATAAACTCTCTGGGATTCTTTGTCTTCAGTTGTGTGTCTTGAAGCTGAAGGAATTTAATATGAAGAGCTAACATCAGTTGTGTGCTGTGTCTGATACTGTGTTGAGGGCTTTGCCTGTGTCACCTGACTTACTCCAGATACCAGTCGAGCGGCATAGGTACCATCACTGTGCATTTGCAGACAAGGAAACTGCAGCTCAGCAGGGCTGGGCGCCCCATCCCGGCTCAAGGGGGATTCAAGCCAGGAGGCAAACTTCCAGCAGCCGTGCACTTCATGACCGTGCAATACTGCTTCTCAGCATTACAGAGGCTTGTGGGGATTTTTAATTTTTAGTGACAGCTTCTTATTGTATGACAAACTATATAATAATAAATACGAATGGATGTAAATTAGGACTATTGGGCAGATTTCGCAATAGCAATTGTTTTGAACTTCTGCTTGAAATATGCTTCTGTAACAGGCAGCCTGTTCTAGCAGTGGGATTTAGACATGTTCACCCAGTTTTAATGAAACCACTGCATGATAATCAGAGGATGTTTCCAAATTAAATTTTTCCAGTGAAATTTTAAAGGAGAACTAATATTATATTATAAATAAGGACTGCACATGCAATGCAAACCGTTAACGAACAGTTAATCAGGGAGAGTTAAAAACACAATTTTAATTTTAAACATCATCAGTGTTTACTGAGCATCTCTCATGTGCCAAGTGTTGGGATACGAAGGGAGAACCTTCTTCCAGGAGCTCACAGGCTAGTCTGGTGGGAGAGAGAACCGCATCAAGAGATAATGAAAATATTTCTAGATGGATGTGAAGAGAGTTATAAATATGAAAGT